CGCTGCCATCACGCGCTGTGTCGACTCTCTCATCAATGTTTTGGGTCCTGATCTGCAAGACTCCACCAAGTCGCGCGAGCTAATCCTCAACCTCGTCGGTCAGCTTCAAGAAGAAGATGATTTGCTTGTTCAGAGAGCGACATTGAGCTGTCTCGAGCATTTGTCGCTCTACGCCCCGGGGTACATGAACTTTGAAGAATACGTCAAGGTTCTTCAGAAATACCTCCAATCAGAGTACCCCATCCTGCGAGATGTCGCTGTTGATGGTCTATACAACATCATGAAGAGAAATCCAAGTGATGTTATTGGTGCTGCAGAGAAGGGATTCGAGGACCAGTTGTGGCTGGTCCTCGACGACGCGCCGACACACGACGGCATCCGCAACATCCTCAGGAACTGGATGCGGCAGACGTGCCTCACGGACACTGGCCTCTGGCTCACGAGATTCCAGGGCGTCCTCAAGATGACAAGAGCCAAGGCCAAGGAGGAGTCCGTCTCTGGAAACAAGGGCTCGAGCGGCATGCCAGACTTGCAGGACGAGGAGGTCGCCGGTTTCGCCGGAACGGCCAAGGACGACCAGGACAACAAGGCCGGATCCGAAGTTGAGCCCCTCCGATGGCAAGTGACCACTTTCGCAATCAGCTGCATCAACGACATGTTCATCCTCATCGCGAAGGACGTCATGACCAATGGCGAGTCTGCCGCCCAGACGGCGCTTCAGAACAAGATTGCCGATGTCGTCCGGATGGCCTTTTCGGCGTCTACGTCTAGCGTGCTGGAGTTGCGAGTCTGGGGTCTCAAGATTATCGGCGCGGTCCTCAAGATGTTTGGCAGGACGCCCGATCCTGACTTTGAGGAGGCTATGCTCTTGGAGCAGTACCAGGCCCAGATCAGCTCGGCGTTGACACCCGCCTTCGCTGCGGACTCGTCTCCCGAGCTTGCATCTGAAGCCGTCAATGTCTGTGCTGGCTTTATATCTACGGGAATTGTCACGGACGTGGACAGAATGGGCCGCATCCTCAAAACACTGGTGTCTGCCCTTGAGAACTTCTCCAAGGATCACGAGAACGCCGGTATTGGCGACCTCAAGGGCCTTAGCTCCAACGCACAAGTCATGGTCAAGATGGCCGTCTTCTCGGCCTGGGCAGAGCTGCAAGTTGCCAGTTCTGAACAGAAATACCTTCTCGACGTCCTCAAACCGCACATCGGAACCCTGACGCCGCTGTGGCTCGAGTCTCTCAGAGAGTTTGCCCGCCTGCGCTTCGAGCCCGACATCTCCATGACCCTCGGGCCTCCCTCACTCTCTGGCAGTCTCGACACTATCTACGCTGCGTTGAACCGCGAGACCCTGCTCAAGTTCTACCAAGACTCCTGGCTGAAGCTTGTCGACGCCATTGCTAGCCTGATCGAGCAGGACAGCGAGTTCGTATTCGATGCGCTGGACGGAAAGGAGTCTGAGGGACTCAACACCAATGGCAACACCAAGGGCTCAGATATCAACTATCGTGACGAGCCCGTTGCATTCTTCTTCGTCTTGTTCGGCATCGCCTTTGAGGCTCTGGCTACACGCCCTGGACAGAGCGACTCCTTGGCCACCCAGGAGCAGAACCTGGCAATCCTGCAGGCCCTAAAGAAGATTCTGCACCCCAGCGTGTCAGGTCACGCCATCTACCGGGAGGCGATCTTCTCCGAGACCATGGATCTCCTGGACCGACTTGTCCTGACAGAAGGCCTCGACGTCCAAGGCGTCATTGTGGAGATTGCGAGAGCCCTCTGCGTCTCGCACCCCTCCGCGCGGAAGAAGGACTCGGGCGACGACGGTGACCTCTCTGACGACATTGACCAGCTTTTCGAGCTCACGCGCATCATCGTCCTCGTCCTCTCCGGACTGCTGCCCAATCTCACGGAAGCAAACCAGCCCGTCCGCCACCAAATGACAGAGGAAGCGGTGCTGCTGATCCGCTCGTCTCTCAACGCCCTCGTCGACGCTGCCGAGGTCTTCCCCTCCATCATCAAGACGGACCTGCACGCCTGCATCATCCACATCCTAGCCACCATCCTGGCGACCCCGGGATGCCAGGAGGTCATTGTGCCTCAGTCCCTACCCACCCTGAAGCGCTTCGTGGTGAGCATGACCAAGTCGTCCGCCGGCAGGACAAGCGGCAACGGCCCGACGCCAACGGACGTCCAGCTGCAGGGCTGTTTGCGGCGCTTTCTCTCCATCTACCTCAACGCCCAGAAACGCGAGGCGCCCACATCGCTCACCTGCGTCAAGAACTGTTTGCTCGCGAGCACGATTCTCTTCACGGGCGGCACGAACCACTTGGCGGCAAACGATCCGCTTGTGGCAAGGTACCTCGACGAGGTCGTTGACTGCCTCACGGACCGCATGGTATGTTGTCTCCCTCCTCCTGCTTTCTCTTCCCCTCCCTCAAATGATCTTCCGAGTGACTAACATGTACAAAAAAAACCCAGACCGCCAAGATTGCAGCAAACTGCATCAGGTCCCTGCTCTTGCAGGCCAACACAACACCGGCAGACCACACCATCGTCCGCTACCTCCTCCCGCGCCTCGTCGCTTTCGTGACCAACACGGAGCCGGAAGATCCCGAGAACGCCCGCTCCCTCATTGCGCACTCGCTCAGCCAGTACGTGGGCAACGTCCCCCGCGACCGCATTCCCGTCGCCATGGCCCTTATCCTCCCCACCTTCCTCGCGCGTGCCTCGTCCGAAGGCGAGGACGCGTACAGAGACACGAGTGCAAGATTACTGGAGCTGGCGGCCGTGGATCAGAGCGCGTTCCGGACCGTCGTGGCCAACATGAACGACGGGCAAAAGGCATTCCTGGAGGAGGTCATCCGGTGGGGACGGCAGCAGGGCTCGTCGGAACAGGCCGCGACCAGTGCGACCGGGCAGCCCAGCATTGCGCTGAAGATGGACTTTGGTGGCTGATTTCTCTTTTTCACGACGAACCTGTGATATGAATGGACAAGCGAGGGGACGAAAAGGGTGAATGCGCAAGAGGAGGAAATGGAACGTACGCATGCGGCGTTGGGTAGCATTAGAAGCGTTCCTCTGCAGCGTTGTCTCCGCAGCAGGGGAGAAAGAAGAAGCATGATGAAAAGCAGATACAGAAGCAAGATTCCCCATGCCCCATTCGTGGACTTGGTTGTGTGTGTGTATGTGTTGTCACACAGTGAGAAAGCAGGGGCGTTCTCGGTGAAAGCGTACTGTCCGGGATGTGAGGCTCACCGGTTATGGACCAAATCGTCCCAGCCCCCTTTCTGCCTGTATGAGGGGGAGACCGAGAGGTCCAGCCCCATGCAAGTTTCCGGACAAGGCACGTCGTCGTCTTGTTCTCTGGCTTTACCGATGCCGAACACTGCGGGTTGACTCCCGAATCGAAAATTGTGTATCCGCCCCAGCTTTGCTTTTTGTCAGTCGAGAGTTCGAGGTCATGGGACTTCTTTTTGCAAAACCGGGCCGGGCGGGTATCCGTACGGGGCCGGTTCAGATGCAGAAGTGATGAACGACCGCCCATCCGGCAGCAGCAGCGGCGTCCAGAGACAAAATCGCAATGTGTCGTCGCGCCAGTCGCTAATTAGGCGCTGGAGCGGGGTTCGTTGCGGGAAGGTGTTGCGGGAGGCCAAACAAGTGCCCGTATCTTGTGCATGAACTCCGTCCGAGCTTTGGGACGTGCCATGGACGAGGGTTCAACAGGGTGGTGATGGTGGTGGGATGGGGTTGCTGTCGAGCCTCGGGACGAGGTCGCTATCGGGGCAGGCAAGGCGGGAGCCCACGTTGGCTTGCACCACATCGCGTCTTTGTTTCTCACTCGGTAGCTGCCGCGAGAATGGATGGGTTCGTGCGGTGGGGGTTAGACAGACAGAGACCTCTGCCGTCAATGTGGCATCGGCCGCGGGCCCGAGGCGTCGGGGTCGGGCACGGGGCCCGTTGTTGCACCAAGCCCGCAGATCTAGTCCTCTGGGCATGCTCCGGGATTGGCTCCCGGGGTGGGAGTACATGCGCGGTGATCAGGCTGCGTCTCCCTCCGAGCATAACCTCAACACCACCCACATCAAATGTACCGGGCGTCAAATCGTGCAGCCGGTGGATGATGGATCCCCCCTCCCCGCTTCAACCGCTGCTGCAACCAACGGCTGCCAAAGTCGCTTCCATGGCCGTCCAGGGCTGTGTCCCGACGACGGAAACCCGCGCTAGGGTCTTCTGCAATGCAGATAACCTTCCTGTTCACTTTTGCACCTCTGATCGTTTGCCTTGGCTTCATGGCGGTCCTGCTTCACCGGTCTCCTTTTCAGCCTCAAGCTCAGCGCTGTGTTTGCAACCGCCTCGTATACGAAACCTGAGTCGCATTCTGTCTTCAACCCGTCCAATTCCCTTTTACAGGTTACAGACCAGCAACCTTCTCAGGCTCCGGATATAGTAGCGACACTGCTGGTCCCGGATCCTTTGGCGATCCTGTGGGTGGGAGAGCGAGGTGCAGGCCAGCCCGACTGCCGGATTTGGGACCGTTGTTTGCTTGCCATGCACGGATTCCTGAATCGCCACACCAGACCCGACCAACCGAGCGAACGGTATCCATTGACAAATGCAGCACACGTAGGGCAAACCGCATGAGTCCGAGGCGCCCTTGCCCTTTGCTTGGCTCGCCTGGCCGAAGACTGGTCATTGCAGTTGAACTCTTTCAAGACGTTTCAGATAGAAGAACCCAGTATGTAGATGACAGGTTGGTCACAGGCCTGGCTGGGAGGTCTTGCTATCGTATTACAGAAAAGTACTAAATTTGAAGGCGTCGATGTGGGTGAAAGATACAATTTCGTAGATTTTGATGAACTAAATGGCAGCATTGACAGGGAGAAGCACTGCGTTTGGCAGATGCTCTTCCCAAATTAGAGGTAGATAGCTGACTTTCCCGACTAACAAGCTGTGTTGGCGCTCCCCAGGGGTATCTCAAGCGCTCGCTTCTGTTGGTACAATGATTATTTTCGTCTCCCCTCTTTCGATTCGGATCGAGACCTGCGACTAGTCCCGTCTGCAATCACCGGCCCTGCTGGCTGCTGGCTCCTCGTCTGGCGCGATGATGATGGCTCTGCTGACGATAAGCTGCTGGAACCTGACGACCCTTGTCGCAATGAGCGAGACGAAGAAGGCTCAGGAGGGCGGCTAGCAGACCCTGAGGAAGCCGGCGCACGCGCCTTTTCGCTTGTCTTCTTTTTGGAGTTATCGCATTTCTTCTGCCGCGAACTCGAACTCGAGGTCGGCGTTAGAGACGCGCGGCTCGTCTGCTCCTCTGCGACACCTTCTGTAGTAAGACGCGCCTCGAGCCGACGGGAGTTCCAAGTTTTGCCGTTGAGCGACTCAGCAACGCTTCGAGCAATGTCTGCGGTTCGAAATGTTGCAAAGGCGTGTCCTCTGTTCTGACTGCCTGATCCTCGGGGGACGTCGATCCTCTGCAGCTCGGCCTTTACCGGGGTAACCCGTGCCAGGCTTTGCTTGATGAGCGCTTTGATCTGGTCCTCCGGAGTGCTGTGTCCTATTCGTCTAACTATGATTCGTCTATGTTCAACAGAGACAGCCTGGCTGGGTTGGTTGGTTGGAGCCGCGGTGGTCGGAAAGAATCCACTGTTGGACACGTACGCAGGGTATTCAGGGCACCATGCTCCCTGTATCTGAGTGCCATCATACCCCTGGCTAAAGTGTCCGAGGTCCGTTGGAACCTGCTGCAAGTCAGAAACTGTAGATTTCCGCCATGTAGTACTAGGCTCTCACTTGTTGTTCAAACGATGACGCTTCTGAGGATGCGTGAGAGTATGGGGCGGGTTGATGGTCGATTTGCACAGAGAATGGTGCAGGGGTTGGTTGGCGAGGCCTCACGTTACTGGTCACTGGAATCGCATTCTCGTCATTGTGCACTTCCTTGACGACGATTGCACTCGTCATGTTGCTGTCATCGTAGATGATGCGTCTGCCGTTGAACACTCCATCCTTCAAACGATCTAAGCGCGTGTTAGCAGGTCCTGGACACGCTTCGATTTTGGCCACCTACCACATGCACGATAAAAGTTGTATGGCCCCTTGACCCTGACCCAGCCCGAGGTGGGGTGATAGAGTTGAATGTAGTCGACTTCACAGTCGCGGCTAAGCCACTCCTTAAGCGCCTGCCATCTTGTGTCGAATGGTAACTAGGCCGACTGTCAGAGGGCCAGAAGGCAGAGCTCGTGTTGGTGAAACACACATTGCAAATCGGTATGTAGAAATTTCCTGTCTCGGGACCCGGAGGGAGCTGTCCAACTTGCATGGTGACGTGTTGAGACGGGAATCCGCTCCGAACACAGACTTTGTCCAACAAGTAAGCCCAATGGCTCAGTCGGACCAGAGATTCGTGCGACGGCTGGGGACGAAGACGAAACAGGGGATCTCATGTATGACAAGATCCGGCGATGAACCAAGACGATCTTGGCCAACCGTGAGATGTCCAGGGTAGGCAGGAATTGAAACAATGAATCGAGTTTGCAGACAAAGAACAATGGAAATCCTTTTATATTCTGGGGAAGTTTGTCAAGCTGGCCGGACCTCCAATGTCGGTCTTCTATGCTGCAATGCTGTCAATGCTGCTGCTGTTTGACCAATAAGTAGCCCCTGCTATCCTTTCCGTCGACGATGAGGAGCTTGTCGTGGAGATATCCATGATTTTGGCTAGACCCCGTCCTTGGCGGCGAACCCACTCCAGATAAACGTCGGCACAGGTACCCAAGCTGTCTCGAGGCAACTTCCGCAAGTCATTGTACTGCTCCGTCTCGGGTGAAGCTGGCTGATTTGACGGACAGACCACGCCTATTTTGTACCAAGTACCCACATCGAGTGATCAATAGGATGGTGACGAGAGAGGAAACTATCCATCGTGGATGAAGAGTCCCTGGTCCTATGGGGTCATCGTGGTGCAGTTTGCTTCTCGCTGTGACCTGTCACCCGCAGATATTGTTGGTGCGCGTAAGCAGACTACGTTCAATATCGCCTGATCCAATCTTGCGCCACGTTCCTGGTGTTTGGGTGACATTGGTGGCAGAGGAAGCATCGAAGCGTAAAGTTGAAGGTACTTGAAGGGGGTGATGGGCATCCGACATCTTCGAGAAGAGCTCTCGTCCAAGTCCCAAAGATAGCCCGCGATAGTGGGTTGCATTCATGTTCGATTCGACCGGGGTTGGGCTGCCGTGTGCCAGCTATTGCCAGGGTCTCGCGCGGCAGCTATTTGGAGGGGGCGACAGGGGTCCGGCGGCACCCAAGATGGCGGCCGGTACCTTGGCTAGCTGAACCTGTCGTCAGAGCTGATGACCACTAAGTCCGCTCTTGATTCCGACGAAGCTGATTGAAGGTTTGGTCAATACTGCTGAAGAGCAGTAGAGCTGAGTCTAGGCATCTGCGCAATGCTGAGTTGCGCGGGCAAGGACCTGCGTTTCGACGACCATCTTTAAGGTTGCCAAAAGCAACGAGGATTCCATGTGAGCTCTTGTTGGTTGGGAAGGCCCTGCGGATGATGGTCACCCGGAGTCATTCTCAGGCGCCGCGCGATCCTGTCTCAACTTGAAAACGCCGCCCCAAGATCCTCTGGACAATTCAGCGGTGAGCAAAGCGCTCGCCGACCTCATTCGGCAGGTCACTCGGTGTTCGACCTCCCCTCATACGCACTACGAGGGGATGCAGTGACAGTCTGCGACTTTTGGGGTTTCCCCAATGGATCTCGTGCAGGATTTGGTTGCGAGGCAATGATCCAAGCTGAACAGAACCTCCAGAAGACGTCAATCCACGGATCTTAGTGGCCATGCATCCGATTGCTCTCCCGGCTGCAATGAGTTACACCCGCGGGTGGTTGTAACCCAATCAAGACCGCCTAGTTGGGTCATGAAATACCAAAGTCTTGGCTTGGCCACTTGGTTGGACTGAGACTCTGCGTATCCGCAGCTGGCTCGGACCCGAGGTTGTGGCCAACGAGCGATCGATCAAATTTTCTTGAAAGAGAAGGTGTCGTCCACTTCTGACATGTCTAAATTGGACAGGTCCTCGTCGAACTCGGCGAATGCAGTTGGGTCCAGCTGCGTTTCGTCCTTCCCTGTCGTCATTGTCAAGTCACTGCGCTGCGCGTCTTGCCAAGGAGCCCCGTAGGTGTCGGATTCGGACATGGAGACCATGAGGCGATGCTTTGTATCCCCCACCAGAAGCACGGCAGAGTCGCCGGCCCAATTGAGCCAGGACACCTGCGGTTTGCCGAACAACTTTGCGTCGGGTAGCTGTGCTGCAAAGTCAATTGTCTTGGGTCCATCAGATAAAGGATCCCAGGTAAACACCAGGCCGTCGTAGCCCTCGCCCTCGCCCTCGCAAGTGATTGAGAGCAGCTCGCGCTGCGTTGGGTGCCAGGTCAACGCCGAAAGATTGCCGTGAAAGACGAGGACAGCTCGAAGCTCCGATGACAAGATGTCCCAGACCCAAACCGTGCTTGGCCAGTCTTCCAAGGCTGTGGCTAGAAGAGTCGACGAGGCATCAAACACGGCCAAGGTACGGCTTGGCTTGGTCTCGACGCCTCCACCACTCACTCGGCCCGGAGCAGAGACCGATTGTGTCGCCTTTACGAATGTGTGAGCCGAGGCTAGCGGGGCATTGCCGATTTGTTCTTGCCAGATCTACCACTCTTCATTAGCCTGCGAAGTTGCAAGTTCGGATCCCGCGTCACCCACCTGAACCGTATCCTTCGGAACGATGGCTGCAGGATGCTCAAGCCTCATTGATGCAGTCGCTGGCTTGGTGTCCAAGATGCAGACATTTCGGGTGTGGTCGCACACGGCAATGCGAGCACCATCTGGGCTGACTTGGCACACCTTTGCCCCCGCGCCCAGATCGAAGTGCTTCTCCTCAGGCTCGAAGGCAGACGGTCCAGACCATGTGTTGAGAAGGTGCCCATCTGCAGTGTAAAACAAGACTTTGTGGCCTTGGGCTGCAGACTCCCACATTATAAGCCGGCGGCCATCTGGAGTCCAGGTCAAGCCTTGCGCGTCGACCGTCTCTGGGTGCCAGGATCTCTGAACCCCTCTCGTTGTGGGATGGTGAATGCTGACAATGTCTTTTCCAGCGACGCGGGTCAACAGAGCCAAGTGGCCCGAACCAGGTCGAAGAGCGAATCCTCGGGGCGCCGATGTCGGTTGATGAAACTTGGGGCTGCCGATCTCGACTGCTCTCGATGTCGTGAGGTCGAACACAGAAAACTTCAGTCCAAAGGAAGAGCACATGAGGATTTCACTGTCCGAGGCGCCGAACTGAACAAAGGTCGGCTTGAAGTTTGGTGAAGCAGGGTTGCGGACGACAGCACGATAGCCGGACTCGAGGGCCGAGTAGACATGGATGGATTCGGCAAAGCTGACGAGAACGCGACGCGATGACGGAGACCACAGAAAGGCGTTTGCTGGGCCGAGTTTTGAAGGCAGCCTGACGCTGTGGGTTGTCTCCAAAGTCTCGATGGACCGGAAGCTGATGCTGCCAGTAGTAAGGGTTGCGATCAGAGTTCCATCAGGACTTGCGACGCAGTGAGGCGATGCTACCGGAAGTTGTATCAGCAACAAGTGAGGCACGCCCTTGGGCCGACTTACATTTGAAGATCCTGGAGAAGTGCATGCTGCATGGCACTCACGCGTTAGCGTTGAGGTGTCGTCGATATGGAGTGGTGATGTTTGGAAGTCAGGGGGTTCGCTTTTCCCAGGATGGAAAGGCCTGAGACAGGTAGAGACAAGGGAGGTGAGATTCGCGAATGGTGGAAGCTTCCTTTTTCTCAAGGTGAAGAATCCGGCATGTGAAGTGTCTGGGGTCTCGGTGGAGTCTTGAAGAAAAGCCGGTGTCGCATGGAACGGAAGGAAACATCGTCGCCAACGTTGTTTACCTTGTTTCCTATCCGAGACTAGTGCGGGGGCTCCGGCCCCCTCTGTTTGGTCGCTGGGCAGCTATCAGCACGGTCCACCAGGAGGTGCGGGCAGGACCGGTAGGCGCTGGCAGCTGCCCAATCAGGGCGATGGTAATTGGGCGACCAACTGACAGGTGCTAGCTTTGGCCAACACGCTGCAGGGCCGACGGGAACCGCCCGTTCAGAGGCCGGACGACCGCTGGCTGTCGCTCAACTCCGCCAAACCCGGTGACCTGTGCGTCGGTCCTTCAGCAATCAGCAGCAGTTCCCCTCCATCCCCCGCCTTCCTCTCAGTGTCGAATGCGCCCTTAACTTAAGTAGGCTCGAAACTCGGTCAAATAGGTAATCGCCACACCAATGCTGACTCACCTTGGTCACATATCTCAAACCTCGGAGAAGGCGCTATCATTGCCCTGATAGCATATCAATCGAGCAACCCCAGCTCCAGCAAAGTTGCCATCTTTCAAGACACCTTCTTACGTACTTCCTCGCCGTGCTGAATGTCATATCAGTGATGGAATCGCGCAGCGTGAAGGACGCCTAGCCACAGCCATTTCTTTCCTCTCTGTCTTCCTGCGTCCCTTTCCTACATCCATTCTGTCCGACTCGTAACATCTCTCAAGGCCGCCACCATGAGACACAGCATGCTGCCTCGCACGGCGCTGCGCAGCGGGCGCATGCCACGGAATAGCAGGTCGCAGTTGGGGTGGACGCCGCAGGCGAGGTGTCTGAATGCGGCCGCTGCAGCTCAGGTCACACCGAACACCCAACGGCAACCACTATCACGCCGCGAACTCATAAAGGATGCGAAACCCTTCTCCGATTTTCTCACCGATAACTTTCACCGGCAGCACGACTACCTCCGCATCTCCGTTACGGAACGCTGTAACCTCCGGTGCGTGTACTGCATGCCAGAAGAGGGGGTGCCACTATCGCCGACGAGGGAACTCTTGACGACCCCCGAGATTGTACTGCTGTCCTCCGTGTTTGTGTCACAGGGAGTCTCCAAGATCCGGCTGACGGGGGGAGAGCCGACGGTGCGGCGAGATATCGTGCCGCTCATGCACCAGATCGGGGCGTTGAGGCCCCACGGACTGAAGGAGCTATGCCTCACCACCAACGGCTTGTCACTGCATCGAAAGCTTGACTCCATGGTGGAGGCCGGTCTCACCGGCGTCAATTTGAGTCTCGATACTCTGGATCCGCACATGTTCACCATCATGACCAGGAGGAACGGGTTTGACGCCGTCAAGAAGAGCATCGACCGGATCTTTGAGCTCAACAAGCACGGCGCGGGCATCAAGTTTAAGATCAACTGCGTCGTCATGCGCGGCCGCAACGACCACGAGATTGTCCCCTTTGTCGAGATGACACGGGAAAAGGACGTCGAGGTGCGCTTCATCGAGTACATGCCCTTTGACGGCAACAAGTGGAACCAGGGCAAGATGCTGGGCTATGCAGAGATGCTGGAGATGATCAGGGAAAAGTTCCCCTCGCTGGAGAAGGTCAAGGACCACAAGAACGACACGAGCAAGACATGGCGCATACCCGGCCATGCTGGAAAGATAGGATTCATCACGAGCATGACGCACAACTTTTGCGGCACCTGCAACCGCCTACGCATTACCAGCGACGGAAACCTCAAAGTGTGTCTCTTTGGCAACACCGAGGTCTCGCTACGGGACATCCTGCGCAAGTCGAACAACGGTGACCCCATTGACGAAAAGGCTTTCGAGGCAATGAAGCAGATCGAGATGGACCGTCGGCAGGGACTGGCAGACGCCGAGAAGCCGCTTGGCACAGCGCTCAACGAGGCAGAGCTTCTCGGCGTCGTTGGCATGGCGGTCAAGAGGAAGAAGGAGAAGCACGCGGGCATTGGAGAGCTGGAACACATGAAGAACAGGCCGATGATTTTGATAGGTGGGTAACGGCCTTCCCATCATCTTTCTGGAGGGGAGTTTTGTTTGCATGAGACGGCGTTGTATACCACGGCTGGGCGCGGCTTTTACGGGGCTCATGAATCAACCGATGTACATGACGGAAGACTGAATATAGCTGTCACTTAGATTCTCAACCGCTTCCGTCTCGTCCAGCTCGTGCGCCTGGGATGTCCGACTTGATTGGGTCCAGGTCTTTTGTTCACTCGCGTCCCCGAGGCGTCCCAAGAGTACCTACCCATCTGCTTATCCCGACAACGTACGCCCACCAAGCCCGCCTCTTCTCCTCCACGCCTTTGCGACGGGTCTCACGCTCACCGGAAGACGATGCCGCTGCCCCCGGGGATCCCACCTTGACCCACGTGTCCCCAACCGGCTCGGCCCGCATGGTCTCCATCTCGTCCAAGGCCCCGACCGCCCGCGTCGCCAAGGCGGTCTGCACCGTGACCTTTTCCACGCCGACGGCCCTCCGCCTCGTGCGCGCGAGCCAGATGAAGAAGGGCGACGTCCTCGGCGTGGCGCGCGTCGCGGGCATCATGGCCGCCAAGCGCACGCCGGACATCATCCCGCTGTGCCACCCGATCCTGCTCTCGCACGTCGGCGTCGAGCTGGAGCCCGCATCCGAGCGCGAGGACGAGACGGTGCTGAACGTCGAGGCAACGGTCACCTGCGACGGCAAGACCGGCGTTGAGATGGAGGCCATGACTGCTGCTTCGGCGGCGGCGTTGACCGTGTACGACATGTGCAAGGCGGTCGACAAGGGCATGGTCATCGGGGGGTTGAGGGTTGTGTTGAAGGACGGCGGGAAGAGTGGTCGGTGGGAGATGCCGTGATGGGCTCACAGATGACACACGAAAACAACCATTTTAGATCTGAATCGGACCAACTAAGATTGTCCCACGCCTCTCATTCGGGTATTCGCACACATTTCTACAGTCGTGTATGTACAGAGCTCTATCAAGCCTCCGTCTTCAGCTCCTTTGCGATTCCCGCCGCGATCCAGTCCGCAATGGCCATGTTGGTTATCATCGGGTTAACGCCGCTGGCGCTTGGGAACACACTTGCATCCGCCACGAACAGGTTCTCCGTGCCCCAGACGTGCCCCTTGGGCCCTACAACACCCTCGTCCTCGTTAGGCGCCATCCTGCACGTCCCCATCTGGTGCGCAGACGAGAAGATGGCCACGGGCGGCGCGTTGCCCACCTTTCTGACCTCCTCCAGCCAAGCGTTGAACTTGGGGTCGTTAACGCCGTCTAGCGTGCCGTCGTGTTCCAGTCCGTTCTCGTGGGAGGACGATGAGAGGTCGGCCATGGACTTCTCGGGCGGCTCGGCGTGGTCTTCCTTGACGAAAGGCGGAAGACCCGGGAAGAAGGCGTGGATCTCGGACGCGCCTTCGACGTAGCAGATCTTGGCGAGGGCGATGACACCCTCGAGGGTGTTGGCGCGGTCAAAGTCCGATACCACGTAGTCGATGCGCGGGCGGCCGGTGATGGGATCCGGGTACACGCGGCCCGGATCGCGGTCGCGGGTCAGAGAGATGAAGGCGCCAAAGTGGCGGAAGCGAAGTTCGGCCATCTTCGCTGCGAGTCCGCTCTGCCAGGGCATGCTCGAGAGAATCGCGTAGGGCTGCGGGCGTGTTAGGACCTGTTCAAGGAGGATGCTGGAATACGTACGATCATGCAGGTTGGTTCGAGCTTCACACCATGGCCTGCTTTGTCTAGATCTTCAAATGTCGAACAGTAGCTTGTGATGATGCCACCTGCATATGTCAGTCTTCTGCGTGCACTTTGGCGTGATTGAGACCTACCCTCCCATGGCTTCGCATCCTCCTTCCAATATCCGCCGACAAAATTGCAGGGGTGTACGTAGAGGTTGCGCCCAATGTGTCGGTTCTAGTACCTGGTCAGCAGGATAGACTTCAGCGTGGGAAACCGCGACTCACAGTGAGACCACTCCTCAGCAACACGAGAGGACTCGACACAGAGCCGGCAGACATGATGACCTTCTTGGCCTTGATTATGACCTGCCTCGTGGTCCTCTGCTCCACCGGCGTGCTCACGTTTCCGTTGGCATCCCTCGAGATCCACTTTCCAACGACACCGGTCGCACGCTTCGAGCCTGTGGACTCGTCGAAAGTGACCTTCTCGACCTCAAATCCTTCAATGAACTTGGCTCCCGACGCCGCCGCCGCCGGAAGCCAGCTGACGGTGGGACCCTGCTTCTCCGTCGATCCACAGCCCAGGTGGCACTGGCCGCAGTAGTGCTCCGCGCCGCCGGTGTTCTGCGGGGCTGTGGCCGCGTGCCACCCGAGCTTCCGGGACCCGTCGAGCAGCACCTTGTTGCGGTGGTTGTGCTTGATCTTGTCGGCGCTGACGCCCATGAATTCGCATACCTTGTCCAACGAGTTTTGGAACTGCGGCGAGGTGAAGAAGGGCAGGCCGCGCTGCTCAGACCACTCCTTTCTCACAAAGCCCTGAGTCTGCAAGCTAACGCTCCAGTTGACGGTGCCGCCACCTCCCCAGCAGCTCCCGGCAACCATGTTGAGGCAGTTGTCATCGCTGGTGATGAAGCCGCCGTTCTCGTACAGGTACTGACACCCCGTGTCCTGAGTCATGGGCAGCTGCGAGGGCGGGAAATAGTACGACTTGTCTACGACGAGCACCTTGTGGCCCGCCTCAGACAGGACCTTGGCAGCGACGGCGCCTCCGCAGCCGGAGCCAACAATGACGACGTCGGTCTCGACAATGGCCGGTGAGGCTGACGACTCGAATTGCATGAACTTGAAGTCGAAGCCCTCGCCGTGCGTCTGGAAATCAGGCATGTCGGTGTAGTCAGTCAATTCCCTGAACAGGGGGCTGGTCTGCACGGCGCACTTCTGGGCCAGCAGACACAGTGACTTTGACAAGACGCGGATAGTCGGCACTCTGGAGGTCTGCCACGCCTTGAGCATCCTCTCACGAACGTAGAGCGGTTGCTGGTTGGCCGGAGTCCAATACCCCGTAAGAAACCAAGTACCGGTGCGGGTTCTGTCATTTGGTCAGCCCCATTCGTGTGTTCTCAATCATTCATAGTAGGACGGGTGGCTCGCTACATACCCCAATGCGCCCATTGCACCACCCAGCGTTTTCTGGGCAGCACTAGGCAGCGCAGCCAGGGTTCTCGTGACGCTCTCGACGAACTTGGGTTCCTTGGCGGGACAGTGTGCTAGGTACTCCTGAAACTTCTCCTCTGACGGGGGGTTCTTCATAGTATTCTGGACCAGCTGGAGAGCCTGCGCATATTCGGCCTCAGACACTCGGACCTGGTTCGTTTTGTCTGAGAGGGTCGCGGGCCGCGCGATGGACGGCAACGCCGCCTCGAGCAAGGAAAACAGAACGCTCCATTGCGTCTCGTTCCAAAAGTCAGAGGTCGGCAGCACCGGAAGCTCAACCTTGGAGACTTCTTCCGGCAAACCCATCGTGAGCAAGTGCGGAAGTTGTTGTTGATACGGGATGGCGAGAGACGTTTGGCGGTACACACGGATACAACGGTAAAGAGACCTATCGATTGAGGGGGTTGACGTGCAGTAGAGTTACAGACAATTGGGTGAGGGGGAGCTTGGGATAAGGTATACTTTCAGTGACATGAGCGAGGGAAAGCACCTCGGAAGCTCATGATCGACTGATGCTGGGCTGTGTGGGAGCAAAGAGACGTCGTTGGTTGCCCCCTGCTGCTCGCATGGTGGTCCTGCAGGGGTGCGTGTTTCCCATGGATGCGGGGTCTGTGCAAAGAGGCGTCCAGCCTCCATTTTCATCGCGTCCACCTGCTTGCCTCTCCCAACCGAAATGCCTAGGCCCAATCCGGGATGCCTGCAAGAGGTCAAAGAGCTTTGCCATCGACTACTCTTAGATTTGACGGCACCTAGAACCCATCCGAGCTTCTAAATGACTTTGATTGTCTTGGAGTTCGAGCCGTCTGCACAAACACTTCACACCAACATTAGGTGACGGAGCTGTCAGAACAGATATGCAGGCGGGGTGCAGCAGTGGCGCGGCACTTGGGTGCATGCAACCTCACGGCAGGTTGTTAGTGCGAGTAAGAGAAGCTGAGTCGAGCTGATCGTGCGGGGAACGGAGCCGGAGCCGGCTTGAGTGGGAGGCCGAGAGCCCAGCTAATGTGACAGAGAGAGTACCTTAATGCGATCAAGAAGCTGCACCACAGGTACTGAAGTGAAATACCGGACGCCCGACACGGGACCGGCCGACTGCTGAAGGGCTGGACTGACTAGAGCGCGGCTGCAACGCATGTTTGCTGGTGTCTTGGAAGAACGCATTGGTTTCAAAACGACACAGCCGCGCACCTGGGAGCCGGGCTGTCGGGAATCAGACTCCGGACAACGTTCAATGGGCAGATCTGGCAGTGGTTCGAGGTTGCGCCAACAGGAAGATGCCGGGTCAGCTGTAGGTGCCGATCGTACGTTGCTATGCCTGTGGTGAGATTCGAGATCCTGTGGGGCAGATCGATGATGCAAGTTGCTGAGCCGGGAAGGGCTCAACCTCGGCTCGCATGAACAGTACAGAACTGGAAATGCTCATGATTCTATCATCGTCCGTCAGTCGAACGTGCTCGTCTGTTGCTCGATATATGCTTCATCGAAACCATGAGCAACATTTGATGTCGCAGCCTTCCATGCAGCTTGGCTGGCCGTTGGAAGCTTCCGGGCGCTACGTGAAGTCCATTCTCAGTTCGTCTCACCCGGAGGCGCGGACTCTGCGTCTTGGGTTCCGCACATGGCGCAACCACCATCCCGGCGAGGTCGGCCGTCTCCGTGGCTGACAGCTCGCTAGCGAGCCGGCGCCACGGTCAATGTCGCCGGACACTAGGCATTGGGTCCGGGCCGGCGATGGGGTTGGGACAGCCTAGTCCAGGGGCTCGGGTCTGTCACTCGGTAGCGCATCGGCTTGCCGTCCAGCATCGCCAAGGGGCCGGCAAAACCGGGCGAGCGGACCATCCAGGACATGGCAGGCAAGCAGAAGCAAGCCCGACGGCGGCAGGGTGTCAGTGGCCAAATGCCAGATTGGCTTCCCCTCTAATGGACTGCGGGCTGCAGACGTCCAGTGGAATTTTTCAGGGTCCAACGGCGGGTCCAGCATCCGTCTACAGGGGCCGCGGGGTGTCATCTGGCGATGGGCGGTCTGGCGGCCAAGAGCGTTCAAAACGGAAGTTGGGGCCGCGTTTGCCTCTGAAGGCCGAATTTGTTGGGAAAATCGTCAAGAGTGTCTGAAAAATGCATGTGAGAGTCGATCTGCGCAGAAAATTGTTGACCGTTCTGCGAGCACACGCGCAAGCTCCTTCCTGGTAGTATCCGTTTTCCAGGCTGTTGGCGGTTGCGAACATCGGAGTTTGCGGGGTGGTTGGTTCTCGGCGGTGCACTGCACGAATTGAACATGTCGCCCATTTGCAGTCGAATGTCTGGTTGGGCGCAGCTGTTGAGGGGGCCACCCAGGTGTGTCTTTGTATGATGCCATGCCGACTGAGGAACGTGGAAGACGGGAGAGGCGCTTCAATGCCGTCCGATGCATTCCGGCCGAGTCTAATCGACCAAATCCGACTTGACGGCCGTCATCAATGACATGATGGCAAACCGCGTAGAGAAGCCTGCTTCGAAACCCGGTCGCTCACATGCTTATCGGAGCGTCTGAAGCGATTTCGTGATGCTGGAGAAGAGGGTCCTCCCGCAAAAGGCCTGCAATCAAGAGAGAAAAATCTGTGATACGAAGCAGGACGATGGACAGAATCGGGGATAGCGCTCCCCAACAAAATGGACGCAGGTCGGGTAGCCAGGGCCCACGGC